AGAAGGCACACCTTCTGTAATCAAAAACCTTTGCCCTGATGTCACTCATCTGTATTTCTCTATTTTATTAAATCTCTGTCCTGGTTTCAGCTGGGATGTAGTTAACTGTCTTCCTAGTAGCTGGTACAGTGCTATGTTTTGAGTTCAGTATGTGAAGAATGTTGATAACACTGATGTTTTCAGTTGTTGCTCAGTAGTGTTTAGACTACAGTCAAGGATTTTTCGGCTTCTCATGCCCAGCCAGGGCACCTGACCCAAACTGGCCAACAGTGTATTCCATACCATGTGACGTCCCATCTAGTTTAGGAACTGGGAAGGGGGGGGCAGGGTTTTTTTCGCCGCTCGGGGACTGGCTGGGTGTCGGTCGGCGGGTGGTGAGCAATTGCCCTGCGCATCATTTGTACATTTCAATCCTTTTATTGCTACTGTTGTCATTTTATTAGTGTTATCATTATTAGTCTCTTCTTTTCTGTTCTATTAAACCGTTCTTATCTCAACCCAGGAGTTTTACTTCTTTTCCTGATTTTCTCCCCCATCCCACTGGATGGGGGGGAGTGAGTGAGCGGCTGCGTGGTGCTTAGTTACTGGCTGGGGTTAAACCACGACAATCTCCTAATCTGATACTTGATTACCAACCAAAAGGGACTCCAACGGTATTAAAACCTATTATTGATGCCAAAAACACAATCAACGTTATAGCTTGCAACTGCCGAGTCTTGTAGCAGCACTTACTGAGGCAAAGTCAGGGGAGATAGGATTCCCTAAATCAGAAGAAACAAAAGAGAAAGCAAGCTTGACCACAGTATCACAGACATCTTGGGATCAAACAAACATGCTTCAGAAACGTTTGGAGTAGCCTCCTAATTTGTTCTCAACCTCTTTGAGGAATGCAGACTGCTTTAGAGAAGGAAAAACAATCACCTACTCAAGACTCCTACAAACTGCTGTTTTAGCACATTTACCAGAGAACGTCAAGATTAATTAAGAATAAAACTACTCAAGAAAAACAGAGATCACACATTGTAAAACCAAGCCTGACTGGAACCTCATTTCCAACAATTTTGTCATTAAAAGTAGCGCTCTATGTATTAAGTAACATGAAATATACTTGAGGAACAATACCTAAGGTATTAAGTCTGCAATCTCAAATCCTAAAATTAATCAATTTATCTGTTACCTGCATTCACCATATTAACTTGAGACCATCAAAATCTTACACAAGTCCTCTTGCAGATCAGTGTCATATACCATCCAAGTTAAAAAACACAAATACAGTTGCTGATTACACAGCTGCACTGGGAAACAAAGAACAATACCACATATCCATACAATTTACCTAACAATACACATAGGTTAATTTTCATTGTTTAAATTTCTTAACTAGAGACCCGTTAAACCCTGAAAAAAACACTAACATCTACTATTTATACCTTCACTGCCAGAGAAAATGGCTCTCAACCAAAATTGTTTTACAGCAGTTTACAGCAAAATTATTTGGAGTCTCTAACAAAAACCCCACATACTTGGCAAACCTGAGATTTTTTTTAAAACTGCCAACCTATTGCGCTTGGCAAATTACAAAAAAAAAGAAAGTTTCACAAAAGACAGGAAGCCTCTGGTGCTCTGTATGCCCTATATATACACAATAGGAAGCAATGTCTGGAGAGCAGCACCTGGACAGAAATGCCTATATACAGCATCCTTAGGTTGGGATTACCTGCAAGCAAGGAGATTTTTTTTCATAGTCCTTCAATGGAGTTTTAAAGTCAGAGGCAGAACAAGTCAGCCAATTTATCTGCACCCATGCTAAACAAATAAAGACTTACATGTAACTTGCATAGTTTTCTTGGTGATGTGGCAACCAAGGAACAATTTTTTAGGTAACATGTGGCTTACATCCTTGTCATAAATGAAGCCAACTGAGCTCCTCAGAGTCCAAAGTGTTACGTGAACGGTTAAGGACACAGAAAGGGACAATAGTTTCCACAGTATTTTATCTTAATATTTTCCAGAAGAAAATTTCATGACAGATAGTAGATAAATATCTAAAGATAGGTCCTTAAATCCACATTACAGACTCTAATGAATAGCAGTCAGATTTGCAAAACCATACACCTCAAAACTTGCTGAAATTATTCTGGAGTTGCAGATCCTTATTGTTTGCATGCCTGTACATGACAAAAGCAGGAGTCAGAAGACCATGAAAACTGACAGAAGAAAAAATCTGGAGCAACTCTTATTTAAGTGAGCTTAAGAAATCAGAGAGCTAAATTTCTAACACTTTGATCTGAAAGTTTTAATTCTCATAATAAGCAGACTAAGTCAGATTCTGCATCATGTTGCCCTTTCATATTCATTCCGTGTGGACTCTAGCAAAGTTTATATAACCTTCTTTATGTATTTGATGTATCAGACAACACTTTACATAGAGTCAGCTTTCACTTTTCATTCAGGGCAGTAATTCAAGGGCAGCTTGTTTTGTTTTGACCACCAGGACAGGCTGAAGTAGGTGACATGTTTTTGTTTCAATAGCTTAAGATCATTCAGCTACAGTGGGGAAAAAAAACCTACTGCAAGAAACAACAAAGCTAGTTTTTAAATGTTTGTTTCAAAACTAATGTAACTATTTTCAACACAGAAATTTATCCAACTTACATAGTACAGAGTTTTTATTCAGAAATCAATTATTTCTAGAGGAAAAAGCAAAAATAACAATAAAAGAAGGAATTTACTGCGTGCCATAAATCTTTATCCTCTGCTGTATCAGAAGCATATTTGAGTGGTATGAAGCTGGTTTTTGAATATGGACAATAAATATTCCATTACAAGCACAATCTTCTTGTTTTCTAAAAAAAAAAACCAACCAAACCGTACTGCTGTATGTAACTTGCCATCTGAAATTGTCAAGGAAAATTTTCAGGAAAGTTTTTTTTTAAAGGATACTTCCTTGTCTAGTACTTCTACAAATATATTGGGAGGCACTGGGCCAGAGGCTGTAAGAACTTGGGAGCTCTGCATTAAGTATACCTATTGTCTTCTGAAGACTGATAGCTATTTCCAGAAAAATAAGTGTACACTAAAATGGAATGAAATTAGATTTTGGCACAAACATAAGGATAAGCAACATTATCAGATATTGTTATTTCTCTTCCAAAAAAAAGGAAACTCAAAGTTCTCTACTTCTTTTCAGTTTAATACTTTACACTACAAAATATACAGTTAACTTGCATAAGAAAACTCTATTCTGCTTTTCAATCCCAATCCTATCCAATTTATACTCAACACATTTTAGCATTTGCATTCCTAAATTAGATTACATTTACTTTTACACTACTTGTACCTTATTTTTGTCCTTGGAGCATCACAAATGCTTGAGCTACCCCCCTAATTTGTTGCTAACACACATTAAAGCACTATCAACAAAATGCTGAGACACACACCAGCAGAGAACAGTCTTCTTTCGATCTACTTTATGTTATCACTCACCTCCCTACAACATGTTGTACTACCCAAACACTATCAAAATAGTGCTGTGTAGGCCCAGGAGGGCAGTAAAGCAATAGCAAATAAGGCACTTGAGTAAGAGATTACTCTGGACCATGGCCTCAGTTTTGCCAGCAATAATAGTGTAGCAAATACGTAGTGAACTCAAGGCAATGCTACTAGATGAAGTCTTTAAAATGTTTATGTTCAAGTTACTGTATGGCCAGAGAAGATTTGCCAAGAAAGAGCAGAAATAATTAACTTGCTCCCTAAAAAGAACTCTTAATTAAGAGCTCACTCTCTCACTCCACCACCTCACCGTGCTACAGAGGGTTAGGAGGTGTAATCTACTTGCAGAACAATGCAGGCCAGTTATCATTTCTTCAAACCATCCCTCTCTAAGAGTAACCCAAGGTGTTTGACTGACCAACTTCACAATCTAGGCTCAAAGCAGTTAATAGCTTAGTATAAATTAATATACATCTTTTTTAGATTTCAGTATGTCAAGTTCTCAGGAAGTTTAGGAGGATTATCCATCATGACTCCTGAATCCACGCAAACACTTTGATGCTGCACATACGCAGCATGATGAAGCGACGGTCACAAAAGCTCTGGAATCACCACAGTGCTTCGTCCTCACTATTCCACAGCCTTGCAGCTTCCCAGGCAGTCAGCAAATACAGGTATCTCTATATACTGTGGCAGCTCATACTTAAGTATTAAGGCTTAATTTCATTGAATTTAACTTAAAAAAAAAAAAAATCTACTTAAATCTCAAAACTCAGGATATAGGGGATACACGCCTGATTAAGCATACAACAGGTCAACCTCCTTTAAGTAAAGGCTCAGTTCCAAACACAGTGCAATGCCACAAAACCAAGAACTATATAATAGGGAGCGAAGACTCCATTCACTTCATGAAAACAAGCATTTCGAAAAAGCTGAAATTTGCCTTTCATAAGTTACACATAAAACCATGAGCTATGATTACTGTCTTACTGCAGAAGACTCCAGAAATACTTACACATTCTCCACTGTTTTAAAGTCTTCCAGCCAAGCTAAGTAATTTATTTCATAACTATACTGAAGCTTCCGTATTTTCTACAATCCAAGGCTGTGTTTATTAACATGAAACAAAAATAGCGCTATTTTTTCCACCCAGAGCAGAAATGCAGATGCATTATTCCTCAAGCACTTGTGCAGACAGCAGCTCTCTAAGACAGGAGGCCTGCAGCAGGCATTTTTTAACTCCAGGTGTATTAAGAGGCTGGACATGGCGTAAACGTTCCTGGCAGGCAGGAAAGAGGGGTTGGGACCTAACAATAAAAGGGCACAAGAATTTAGTTAAGTGGAAGAGAAGCTTTCCCTGACTGAAGTATATTCTGCGACCAACCCCTTTAACAGAGTAACCTATCCACACAAAAAAAAAAAAAAAAAAAAACACCAAACCGTATTAAGTTGATTTTGAAAACATAAGAAACCGAAAAGAATAAAAGAGACAGAGAGAGCCAAAGCACCTCACATCGCAGAAGCATCATCCTTTGTACCTCTTAAAACCTCAGTGTTTTGCACAGGCTTTTTCTTAAGCAAACGGGTAGGCATGGGCCAGGAGCAGTTGTTTTCCGAGAGAAGCGGCACCTTTAGGGAAAGAGAACGTAAGGAGCAGCTTGAAGAACAATGAAAGCCAGTAAAGTTTGGGGTTTGGGTTTTGGGGTGGGTTTTTTTTTGTTAAAGTCAAGTTTTTAAGCGCCGCCTGTCACAGAAAGCAGCCGTTCCCTGGCTCGCCCCTTCGGGAGCCCTCGGCGCTCCCTCACCTCTCAACAACCCGACACCCGCCGCCCCGGGGCTCCTCCGCCCCACCAGCCCCCGCAGACGGCAGCCCAAACCGCCGCCTCCGGACACCCACCCCCACGCCCCCAAGCCCAAATCTTAAGGCGAGTTTCGGGGGGGGAGGGGATCAGCCTAATTCAGCCGCCCCCGATAACGGCGCCGGTAAGAGCGGGGTGCGTTTGGGCAGCGGCCCAGCGGAGGAGGGGGAGAGGCCGGCGGGCCCCACCGCCGCGGCTGCCGGCGGCGAGAGGCCG